GGACGTACCCCGTCCAGGGGGCAGTCGCTACAGCGGGATTAGTGCGAGACGTTTCTAGTGGACCAGCACCCAGTGTAATGTACTGCCTTTCCGTGAGCACGGTGTTTGGGCTTTGCGCATGAATATTTAGTTCTTAGATGTGGGGTAAATACGCAATTATTTGTCGCAAACGCTTCAGCTTTTCTTCATGACGCTGGTAGTTGTACTTATTGCTTCCTTCAGACCATAAAATTCTGCACATTACTGAAGAAAATTTCCCAAGCTCCTTAGAAATGAGACTGTCATATTGAGCGGAATACCAAGTGACTTTCATTACTCATTTTACAATTATTCTTCCAAAATAGTGATAAATGGCGTCAACTTTGTAGGCTAGTGTGGTAGAAAAACCGGTACATGTCAGTGAAGCCGAGCAGAGATCAATTATCAAATTCTTCAACCACAAAGGGAAAAATGACAGAGAGATCTATGAAGAGCTAGTCGGATATTGTGGTGACAGCGCATTGTCGCACAGAAGTGTTGCCGCTGGATCAGTGAATTCAAGGGAGAGAGGACCGGCGTTGAGAGATTCGGTGGTGAGCGCCCGGCAACAGTGGTGACAGATGCAAACGCTCGGGCTGTGGAGAACCTGATAATGAGCGATCGACGCACAACCGTGGAAGAGATAGTGGAAGAGCTAGGCATATCGCATGGTTCAGTGCTAACGATTATTCATGAAGAGCTAGCATGGCGAAGGTAGCTTCCCGATGGTTTCCCCACATGCTGGATGACGACAAGAACGCAGCACGTCATAGGGCTTGCCAGATCTGGAAGCTGGAGGTGGAGACCAAGGGAAACGGCTTTCTGAATAGGATCGTCGTCATGGATTAGTCATGGTTCCATTTGTACGAGCCCGAGACCAAGCGCCAATCTCTTCAGTGGAAGCACAAGACTTCTCCCTTTCAGGATCAAATCCTTCTCCATTATAGCACCAAGGCCCATTCCACGATCCATCAGGATTCCGACAAAAGTTGTGAGAAGGATATAAGTCGTCCGGGAATGATTTAGCTTCCGTATAGTCTCTTCAGGGGAAGCACAAGACCTCCCCCCCCCCCCCCCCCCCCACCCCGCCAGTTTCGAAGGGAGAAATCGACTTCCAAAATGATGTGCGCAATTTTCTTCGATAACAAGAGCGTGATTTTAGCTCATCCCATGCCATAAGATACGGCAATGTCTGCCGCCTACTGCACTTCCCTGCTGCCCCTGGTTCGCCAAGCGATTGCTGAGAAACGAAGGGACAATTTCCTGTATGGTGTCATCTTTCATCACGACAATGCTCCAGCTCATCGGGCACTGATCGTTTACGAGGCATTAAGTGAGAACAAATTCGACTTCATGGCTCAGTCGCCATACAGTTCTGACTTGGCCAGCGCTGACTTCGCAATGTCCCCCATACTTACGCGGACGGAGATTCGAGAGCAGAAGTGCTCTCGGATTGTCAATCTTCTAGTGGTACTAAGAGCAGGACAAAGAATGGCTCGCTGAGGTCTTCAGGAAGTGGGTGAAGCGGTGGAACTCCTGTATTGAACTCGATGGAGACATCGTTGAAAATAAATGACCATAGTTCCGTTCTGCTACGTACGGTTTAGCTTCCCCAGAAAAGTGCCACTCTTGTTTTTGACCGCACCTCATACTAGTTAGGAAACATTGAATTCTATCACTATCTTCCATGAGGATCATATTCCACACGAATCTGCAATATGATAGAATTCCGGAGATAGAGACAGCATGGACATTGCAAGGTTATAGTTGCTGGCGTGTCTATTCCCGGAAAGTGTACATTCATTTGCAAGTCTAAGGGCTAAATATGGTGAAGTGATAGTAAATGTAGTTTTCCATAAAATTGAGCTTCTTTTTTCATTGTACAGTAATTGGTTAGTATTGTAATGGTGGAAAAGTTCAATGTGTTATAGTCAGTATCCTGAATCCTTGTGCAGGCGATTGACTGTGAAAGGGTCAAAGGTTCATGGTGCTGATCAGAGGAGAATCACTGCAGATTATGAAACATGGAACTAATGTTCGCAAAAGGGAGTTTGTCAACTTTTGCCACCTTTTTTATGACTCTGTCCCCATCTAATATATATAGACGATGGTGACTGACTGACGCTAATTCTAACCATGTTCTAGAAGGGCTAGAAATCTGAAACTTGATAAACATGTACCTTTTGGGATGCAGAGTTCAGAAAAAATCCGACTTTGGAGGTACATGCCCTGGGGGTACACATTTTGGGGGGAAAGGTTTTGCTGGAATATGCTTTGTGACAGACGAGGATGGCATTCAGAGAGTCAACTGGGTGCGCACGGTTCGGTGGTGTAGTAGTAGCATGTCTGACTGGCAATCAGGAGGTCGCGGTTCAATTCCCGGCCATTCCTAGACTTTCTTTCGGCTTTTTGTGCCTTCCATGTCCCGTTACTCATTCCCCTCCATAACATTATTATTGCTTCAGTAAAACGGAGTGACATGGAAAGCTGAAACTTTGCATGAATATGACAACTGGGACAAGGAGTTAAATAGAAACGTTAGGTATCGATACATCCCCTGGCAAATTTTTTCGAGGTGCGATGTTTGGAAGAAAAATTATCGTGGCGAATTGGACAGAAATGCAAAGGTGAATCTTGGCATACGTTTAAGTGACATGATATTATTGAGCTGAGGGAGTATTCAGCTTTCAAGGTGCAAGGGGCATAGCTTTTGTGTGGGTCGGTTATTCCGAGCATGCTTTTTCACCAACGAAAAGGGCATATGTATAATATTGAAACTTTGTGGGCATATATCAGATAGTTCACAGAGGATGGATTTCGATAAATAAAAAGAAGATACTTTTTCGGTTAAAACGGTTGACGGCACATATTTTGCAAAAAGCGTATTTTCCCGAATTTTCTGATCAGGAAAACAGCGCGCCAGAAAATTTAAACTTGGCAAAGAAGTACCTGAAGGATAGCTGAGTAAAGGAAAAAATTATACTTTTATTATGCATAGACGATCGTGAGTAGCTGACTGACACAAGTAGCTATTCGCATGCTGAGTCCAGGAAAGATGCTACTTTGGTGATGGTTGCCAAAGTGGCACACCTTTTCGGGGAACATATTTTCAAATAGTTCTCTTTGCTTCAAACGGAGACACCTTCAAAGCTGAAACTTGGCAAGAACGTGACCGTCGACGCACTAAGCTCAAATGTCAAACATTTTTTTGTGCGTCTCCTCAAAGCACAGCTTTTGAGTGGGTCTCTTTTACATATACATTTTTTCCGCCAGTAAAAAGGGGAAACATATAAGGCTGAAACTGGGTGGCATGGCGTTCCCTGAGTCAACATTTCAAAAGAAAACAAGTTTTCGTTAAAACCCATCATGGCACTTTTTTCTGTCCCATTTTTCTGAATTTTTTTTTTGATCCCATAAAACAGAGACAAAAAACACAATATCCCACAGAAGTATATGTTTAATGGCTGAGTATTGGAAAAATCCTAATTTTCAAATGTCTCCTTAGCGTAGATTATTGGAGGGAAGTATTTCAAAATGAAATTCTCCACCCTTAGAAAAGGGGACACAAGAAAAAGTTTAAAGTTAGGCACACATAGAATCATATAAGTATTGATTTGATAAAAATCAAGACATTCGACCCCATATGTCACGTATTTCAATGGGAACGTACTTCAAATACGTGTTTCCCATTTCTCAAAAAAAAAGAATGAAATTATCACTATACAAGGTAAAGGGGCGCCGATGGCGCGACCATAGAGAGTTTGCTTGCCCGAAGGGCAAACAAAGTCGCTAGTACATAATAATATTCCTAAAACTTCTGTGTATACCGCTTGGTGCCTACCTCTCCTGGAGGGCAATAAAATCAGGCGTCTTTTAATCAACTCAGTTGACAGGTGCTAATCCTCTTTCATGGTGGTCCTCCAAGAGCCTGAAAATGCCGCTGCACGCTGATTCAGAATATGGACTATACCATGATTCCCCAGTCTGAAATTTTAAAGTAACATTGTGAATTTTTCGAGACGGTCAAAAATACAAGGATAGAGTAAGACCACCTAAGTTCGGACACTGTTGCAAACATTGTTACAAAACAAAGCATTCGAGAGGCCGCCTTCAAAAACGGTTCCTCCTAACATGAGATGAAAACGTTACTGAGCGGAGGAAAAGCGGTCGTCATGATGTCTTTGCCTATTCCAAGATATTGGGCTTAGACCAATGCTATATCTCGAAAAGAAGGAATTCTTCAAAACCGTAAGGAGAGAACGTTGCTTTTAAAACGTCTTAAACGTGACATTGTTGTATTCTGCATTCAATTCTTACTTCCCAGGAAACAAGGAGGACGTGGAGTCCTGTTACGCAGAATGCACGTGCATTGAGCAGATAATTGTCTTACTTTCGATGTGTCCGAACTTAGGTCAATAAATGTATGAGAAACTGAAGTTCTGAAATATATTCGCGTGTGTTATATCCTCGTAAATATGATGTATTCTTGAGATAAAGATCTTTAGAGTTGAGAAAATCTCAGTTGCGGCAAGTTTTTCAGAGAAAATGTATTAATATTTCGGAGCTCCGTCCGAACTTTCATAATGGGACATGTAACTTCGGGCACCGTCGAGCACATGCGCAAAAAGTACAGCATCATATATTTAATTTTCCACCTAAGTGAGCGACGTGCCTCCAAACTAGTGCAATCATGGTAGGAGGTTGGAATGGAAGGGATTATCGATCCGGGGGTGTTGAAAAAGCCATCATGGCTTTAATTCGGGTGAGATTTCCTTCCGGAAGGCGAACATTGCTCACGATGAACACGTCTGCTGGATAAATTTTCTTCTAGGAGTTGTACCTCCAAATTCGGAGCGCGAATATGTCCCCGAAGTTGGATGTTTTCTGAATTAAGCATGCAGATAAATACTTGTCTACTGAATGTAATGAACTGTGCCTGCCCGGTCTGCTTTTAAAAAAGAAATTCCGAAAACATGACACTAATGAAAAGTGTGCACCAGGTTTCTATATCCGCCACCGCCCGATTCAATGTATCAAAACATTATAAAATATGGCTCCCCCAAATGTACCCTCAGAATATACAGGGTGTCCACAAAGTCGCGCAGTTAGATTTTTCAAAATTTAGATTTTTCCCAAAAGTTAGATTTTTCCTTACGCCTGCATACCAGCAGGTACCTATTAAGTAAGGTTTCAGCCTTCTGTCTTCATGATTCCCTGGAAATAATTTGTTTTTTCGGAAAAGGGCCACCTGAAAAATACGCCCATGGAAATGAATCTTAAATGTAGCTCATTCTCCCCAGAAGTATGCATCTCAGTTGGTACCGATGCACCAAGATTCACCTTCCATGTCTCTCCGTTTAACTAGAGTAAAAATATGTATGGAGAAATGTCTCTCTTAGAAATAGTATCTGAAACCCGCACCATCAGAGATGTATCAAGTTCGAACTTTCAACCTCATCTAAAATATGTTTAGAATTAAAGTCATACGCTCACTCACTCAATCACGATCGTCCTATTCTAGAAAAGAAAACATGCAATGCTTTGGGAGTGAGTTATCATTCCTTTACACCAAAATGAAGTGTTTCAAGCCTTTTCGAGACTTTAAAACTGGGGTGTCCGAACTAAGTTGAAAGCTTCCGAACTTAAATTTTTTCGCATCTAAGTTCATCCACAGCATCCCTAGCATCCACATTATAGGCACTATAGGTAGTCATAAGGCTTGGATGGACAACATCTTTGTTGCACTCACCTCATCGTGTCGTGTTCCCAGGAGCAAAAAGTGAAGCTTCCAGCTTGTACCGTTGAGATAGGACGAGCGAATAATGAGGCTGGGCAAGTTTAACTGTCCGAACATTGGTGGTTTTACCCTATACAGCTTATTTGTAATGAAAATATAGAAAACCCCATCGGTAAAATAGGAATCAGATGTGTCATACCATTCCTTGAGCGTCACAACTTTTTAATATCTGAATTCGACCTAAGATAGCCGTCCAACCAATGTAGTCAATTTCCCTTGTAGCGCGAATTTTGGAATTCGAATTAATAACCGTTTGTGTTGAATCATTGAAGTGTTGGATAGTTTCATAACTCCGAGGATATAATGAAGGAATTTTCTCAAGGAAGTTCCTTTTGCATACGCAGCTACGCTGGCGATCAATTGAGCTGAAATGACTGATGAGGATCTTCTCATTTAGAAATTTATTAGCTGAATACAAAACATTATATTTCTGCAATTTTGTGCATCAGTAGCGAAATGATTCAACTTTCCATGGAATTTGTAGGAATTTGTTTGGGCTTACATCCTAACTTCAAAAGTCAACATTTCTGTGGATAAATGCTCTAAATTTGAATTTCTCACCTAATTTGAAGTGAAGTGAAGTGAATGGTTCTAATATTACACATGGAAATTAAAATTGGAAGATAACCGGTGACCCTGAACGTTGTCTCTCCTAGTAGCATTTGACCTACTGACGTAATGAAGTTTAATTTGTACATTTCCGGGATTTGGGGCATAATAGCTCTGTATACCGAATGTAATCAAAATCGGAGATGTTACTGCTAACTTGCCAATTGCTCGGGCGATTTGCATTTGAATAACCCATTGAGTAATACGCAAACAAAAGTTGAAGTATTTGGCCCTTCAGTTACAATTTATCTTTCCTTCTCGGGAATTAAATGTGTCATTTTAAATCCCAAAGAACAATGGTCTATCACTTTTCAAATTACAATTTTACTTTGTAGGCTAAACATTTCTGGCACTTAGGGTTACTTTCTCTTAATTATTTGTGTGCTTTTGTTGCAGAGCCGGTGACAGTGCGCCTGCCATTCTCGACAGAATTAGAGGAATCATACGTAGTGAAACAGGGTGCTGAGTTAAATTTGACGTGTGTTCCAGTGGAATCGCCAAATGTGACTGTGGAATGGACCAGGAGCAATGGAAGATCTCTTGATGACCTAGTTTTCCCAAATGACACGAATATCCTTCAACTGAGAGATATCCAAAAGTCGGAAAATTACTCGTGTTTGGCAGAGAGTATATTGTATGGTCATGTGAATCGGACGAAAATAATCATAGTCCAGGACTTTCCCATTGCACCAGAGAACTTGAATGTCAGTAAGGTGACAGGGTCCTCGCTGAGACTTGATTGGTCCTACCCGACGTCCTACTTAGAGTGGATTGGTGCTGGTGTCCAGCATTTCACGATCCGTATCTACCCACGGATTTTGGGAAACCCGCATTTTGAGATCTCCGGCATCACTGAACGTCATCACACCTTTCAACAGCTGAATCATAGTTTGGAGTATATGTTCTGTGTTCGAGCTGTGAATCTCATTGGAAACGGTTCTCTGTCCAAGTGTTCCAATGCCAAAACCAAAGGACCACGTACGTTTTGTCTTTCCCACGTCTGTACAGAGCCTTTGAAATGTTCCGGGACTTTTCCATTCCATGAGTAGTACCTCCTGAAACCAACATAATTTATTTTGGATGAGAGGGCTTGCTGTGACTGCGGGGATAATTTATAAGCGTAATCAGACAAGAATTTCCTTTCGACAAATTTCATGCCATTCTTATTCAAGGTTGCTGAAGAAGGACTCAAAATTTTGGTGAAGAGTTGGGAAAAGTCTAACGTTTCATAAAGGCTAAAAAATGTTCATGTTATAAAATTTGTTCAATCTGTTAACATAATGTTCGAATTAGAAAGTCGTTCCTGGGGCAGCAGTACTTTTATTAATGAGAACTTGCCGTTTGGGCTCAACATCTGTTAGTCCTCATACTTTCCTCATATTTTATATTTAATCAGTTGGAAATAACAAATAAAATAACCAATAGCTCATTCGAGCTATTGCTCGATTGAGTTATTGGTTATTTAATCGATTCTTCAGATTGCATTGTGACGCGTAACATGCGACGAATTTGTTTTCTTGAGATGTTTTCACATTCTGGTATTGTATTCAATGCTTCAGTGTCGATCAATTATCAACAAAATGCCTTTTCCCAGTAATGCAAATCAGGAAGTAAAGCATATATATAGAATCTGCTGCGGGCTTTGGTGGATCTCAGAAAGAGAGACTCTCCCATCCCAAAACTACCTACTCAGTTCGTGTCTTGCCAGACACGAACTCTTCTCAAATAATGTTTTGATTACAGTATTTATTTCATAGTTGTTGAATCTCTTAACCCTTTAGCTCCCAAGTTTCTGAAGCTGCACTCTGGCTTGGGTCAGAGTTTGAGATGAGAATGAACCAGATGCGATAACGAGTATATTCGGGCATGGAATTTAAAGGGTTAAATGGCAAGTTTTCAACCAACAATGGGGGTTTCCAATAATGGGGATTTTTAACCGGGAAACAGGCTTTCATTTTCTTTATTTTTACCACTGCTTTTCAAATTTGATTTTATGAACTTTTCATGAAATTTGCATTTTCATCATTCCTCATACCTAGTGAGTGCACGCGAAAGGATTCTCGTGACAGAAATATACGTCTTGCCCATTCTTGGGAAAGATCTCCACGACAGAAAAATACCCCATGGCCAAGTGAGAGTTTCAAGGCCGTCTTCATCAAAAACTCCATTGCTGGAAAATGACCCGGCTTGTGTCTCTTATCAGAGCATATAAGTGATATTGAATAAATAACCTTCAATGAAAAGTGCATGAACATTACATATAAATACATATGAGTCAAGAGAGAGATAAATAAGCCTTAAAAAAAGGCATTAGTTACTCCCACCGCCTGAGCAAAATATATAATCCATACAATTGGGTTAAATCCCAGAGGAAGTAATAGTAGATAAAACATGAACACTTTCAATGAACACCCGTATTGCTTCCTTCATTTTTTTTAAGTTATGCATTTGGCTTCCAAAATGCACAATTCCATTCAATGTCCTCGGAGGCAAAGATTTCTCAAACTCATGAACCTCTAAGAATCTAAATAAATATCAATTTATCTAAATAAATAAATATCAATGTAGAAGGTGGCCAAGAAGTGGACATATCTATGAAGGGCACTTTCCTAAATCCAGTTAACCAATAAAGGAATACAATTGTACGGGTAAATTTCCAACTATTTCCCTGGAAAACCACATGTTTGTTGAAGCCGTCTATTTGAGTTAAACGTGATAGCCAACAGGAACTTCACGCCGATTTAGTGTCCAGTGGCGTAAAAGTACAGTAGTGGTTACTGGGGCCAAAGTGGTTAGAGGGAAAAAAAAACCTTAAAATGCCATTCAGGATAATGCATGAAAATATATTTCTTTTCCTGCAGACTATTGTTGTTTTTTGTCTTTTTTTTCCTACCCACAGTCGTTAATATTGGAATTCGAAAAAGCTTTCGTTAAAACTAATTTTTTCCCACTTAGTTGTTCCATTACGATGTGACTGATATTCTTGCAGTTAATTGCGATGTAAAAAGTAGGACATGGTTTACATCTAATATACAAGGTGTGTCCCAAAAGTATCCAAACTTTTTCTATGCAGACAGTATTAGTGGCGCCATTTGTTGAAAGAAGGTGGCATTCTATTGGTTGAACCTTCAAGTATTACTCTGTTGAGTTTGGTTGGGCTAAGACGAATGAGTCATTGCCTAGGACGCCAAAAGTAACAGTACCCTTATGACACTCGTCGAGAAATCACCATGGAGCAGAGAGCTAACATCAAATTCTGTGTAAAATTGGGGAAAACATTTACGGAGACGCTCGAGATGTTGCGGAAGGCTTATGGGGAACAAGCACTATCACGTACAACAGTTTACGAGTGGTATGCAAAGTTTCGGAATGGTAGAGAATCGTTGGAAGACGATGAACGCAGCGGGCGCCCTTTGACCAGTCGAACGGACGAAGCAGTGGAAAANTTTGACCAGTCGAACGGACGAAGCAGTGGAAAAAGTGCGTGATTTGTTCAAAAGCGACCGTTGCATGTCCGTGAGACTCATTGAGGATATCATAGGTATCAGTAAATCACAAGTTTACCGCATTTTGACCGAAGATTTGCAGCGGTGAAAAATCTGTGCGCGATTTGTTCCGCACTCATTGGACGACGATCAAAAACAAGCCAGAGTGCTGCATGCCCCAGACATCATTTCAATCACCGATAATAACCCAAACTTTTTAAAAACCATTGTAACTGGCGCTGAAACATGGTGTTTTCAATATGAGCCACTCACGAAGCGCCAGAGCTCAGTTTGGAAGACTCCAGAAGAACCAACACCAAAAAAGTGCGCATGCAGAAGTCAAAAGAAGAAGTCAAAAGAAGAAAACAATGCTAATCCTTTTCTTTGATTCGGCTGGGATTATCCACAAAGAGTTCGTTCCAGAAGGCCAGACGGTAAATGGCGAATAATACCTCGCCGTTATGAAGCATTTGCTGGCCAGAATTGCTCGGGTCCGTCCTCAATACCAAGCAACAGGCAGCTGGTCTCTCCTCCACGACAATGCTCCGTCTCACAGGTCCATCATTGTGCGGAACTTTTTGGCCTCAAAAGGAGTCGTAGTGCTTCACCACCCGCCCTATTCGTCTGATTTGGCACCCTGTGATTATTTCCTTTTCCCCAAACTAAAAA